AACGAGTTCTTGAATATAATGCAAAATTACTAGTTACTTTAAATGTTTTCTAAAAAAATATGGGGAAAACATATTATGAAATTACTTTATTTTTTTTAAAAATTCTATAAATAATTTAAGCCGAGTTTTTAATTCACATCAACCACCAAATTTCTTCATTTTTAATTTAAAATAAATTTCAGTCAAGTTGTTAATCTAATTTATTGAATCAATCAATGTATGTAAATTTATGTACTTGTTAATATTATGATTTATTTTATAAAAAATATTATGTCTAAGGGTAAAAAGTTTACAACTTGTAAGTGTAAATTATGTCCCAACTCAAATATTTTAATCTCTATGTAGAATAAACATCATACTTCAAACTGTGCAGCCATTGTTAAGGAAAAAATGGGATATCTGATTTAACTTATTATAACAAGATGAACTCTTTGTATAACTCTGTGAAATTAATATAGCCAAATTAAGGAGGAGAATGGCCACAAAGTTGACGAATCTTGTGATAAATCCAAATTATAGAGATTTTTAAATAATGACAAGTCGTTCATAGACGAATATTTTATGGCTATATATATGATTTTATAGGTCATGGAACCTGTTCCTATGGCTCTTTCAATTTTAGAACTCCTATGATAACTATTATTATATTAAAAAAAATGTCTTGAAATAATTTCACTTTATAAGCTACTTATTATTGCAAATATGCAAGATAAAGATAAAAGGCATACAGTTGAAGTATTGTTCACAATTTATATTTTTATAATATTTTATGAATATATATTATTGCAACAATTCACCCGCTATTTAAATGAGATTGGCCCCCATAAAAGTAGATGTCAGCGAAGGAAGGAAGCTTACTTATTTCCTTTTTGAGAAAAGATCCCGATAATGGAAAGGCAGACTTGTTTACTTTAAAAAACAGCACACGTAGGGGAGACTGGGGTTAGGTAAACTCCGGGGCATGGCAAACCACTTAGTCTTAAAACAGAAGGTTAAAATTTTATCCTAATATTGTTTTTATTAGTTAACATCTATAGACATAAAAATTTTTGAAATAATTAATTATTAAAAATTTTATTTTAAGAAATAAAATTTTAATGAAATTTTCAAATGATAGAATTTAATTTTTATTAAAACTAATATATATAATCTCCATAAACATAAGACGATCGTTTTCGTATCTCCCTAATGTATTTTAAATTTAAGGAGACTATATAGTGTAATGTTATTTTTTTCTCTCTTCGAGAATCAAACTCGAGCCTCCCGTTTCAAAGGCATATGCTTTACCGCATGCACCAACTTGAATATGAATAAATTTAAAATATTAATTATATATATAAAAGTTTCACGCAGGCACCAATTTGAACATAATTAAATTTAAAATATTAATTATATAGATGTTGAAGGGTAATTATTTAGTTATATGGTATTAAATATACTTTATTAATAAATTTTATATAAATATTAAAATTTAAGAGTAAAAGAGGTAAAATTGTTATGTATACTGTGAGCATGTATTAGAAATATCAAAATTTAAAAATGTGATTTAAATTATATTGAATAAAATTTAAAATAGAGGTGCTTTAAGATTTTTGAATTTCAAATATGGGTTATAGATTGGTCTGAAATTTTTTTTGCAGACATAGCCAGGCCTGATCAAAAAACCATGGGTTGAAGGGTAATTATTTAGTTTGTGTGTATGGTATTAAATATACTTTATTAATAAATTTTATATAAATATTAAAATATAAGAGTAAAAGAGGTAAAATTGTTGCAATGTATACTGTGAGCATGTATTAGAAATATCAAAATTTAAAAATCTGATGGAAATCATATTGGATAAAATTTAAAATAGAGGTGCTTTAAGATTTTTGAATTTTAAATATGGGTTATAGATTGGTCTGAAATTTTTTTTGCAGACATGGCAAGGCCGCATCAACCAAGGCCCATGCAACTTTCATATTCTGATTGTATTTATAAATGCATTGTGACTTTTTATATATTATGTCAGTCCTCAACTATCAAAATTATTATGGTCTTTTGCGGGTTTGAGAAAACGAAGTGCGAGGACCTGGCTTGGAAATTTTTTTAATATTAGGCATAGGTGTAATATTTAACACAGAATATTTAAATGGCCCTCAGGTAAAATCTAATTTAAATATATTTTTATTCAAAAAAATAGTATTCACTCTTAGTCTTAATGGCTAGACCTTTGTTGGGGTGAGCTGGGTTAAAATAGACTGAAAAATAGATATGGTTTTTAGAGATTTACCTATCTCCAGGCTTGGAAATAAATTTAAATTACTATCGGTGGCCAGGTTTGAGAAAATTTTTCTATAAAATTATTATGGGTTGGGCTTGGGAAATATTTTTATAAATTATATTGGGCTGGGCTTGGAGAAAATTTTTCAAAATTATTATGAGCTTGGATGTTTGAGAATTTCTTTATTATTAATTATAGGTCAGACATTGGCCCAAAACAAATTTTTTTGCAGGCCTGGGCTTGACCTGATCAAAAAACCAAGGCCCATGAAACTGAATTTTGATTGTATTTTTTAAATTCATTATGATTATTTAAATATTTTATTTCAGTTCTTAACTACCAAAATTATTATGATCTTTCATTGGGCTTGGAAGAATTTTTCATAATTAATATGGTTTTGGACTTTGCCTGGGAATTTTTTTTAATATTAAATATTAGGTATAAGTAATCAGTAATATTTAACAACTAATATTGGTATTATCAAGTAAATGCTTTAAATTTATTTTTACTCAAACCCATAGCACTTAGTTTTAATGGATTAAACCTGGCCTGAAGGGATGAGGGGGTAAGAAGAATAAAAATTGGATATTATTTTCAAATAACAGGTAACATGCATAAAAGTAAGAAGAAAATTTTCATCACCCGTCATTTTTGACGGGCTATTTACTAGTATATATATAATCATTTATATGTAAATTAAATTTTATAGCAAAGATAAACACTCTTCTATAATTTGTGAAAGTTTTATGGGTATTTATTATATCTAGATATTATTTCAATCATGATTTGTCATTTAGAGCTAGCGGGGCTTGATAAACCATACACGTCAATTATGACAGTAGTAATGAAATAAATTTCAAAATCTTAAAAAGACAACTTCATGGTTGTTTATGATTGGTATTTAGGATTTATGCTATGAAATCATAATTAAGATCTTTATTTTTTTATGTCCAAAATGTTTATTAAAATTAAATAAAATAAAATAAAATTTTTATTTTTATATATAATTAGCTTAATTTTTAGTATTATGTTATTTTGAACAATAAAACAATAAAATTATTCTATACGTATCATTATTAATAAATTAAAATGCATTTCAATTTATTATGGTCTAAAAAAACGAATGGTTTAGGAAGCCCCTTCAAGGGGTTTGCCTCACCCCGCTATTGGGGCTTGTTGAACAAAATTTTCACTTTTACAAAAACTAAAATTTAAAAAAATGATTATATTCTAAAAAATTTTTATAAGGCACCTTTATAGAATATAGTTTTAGGTATCTAATATATATTATTTTTCTAAAAAAACGGTTTGACTAACTCCAGTCTCCCCTACAGATTATTTTCTAATAAAGATTTAAAAAAGTGGATGAGAATCTAATGTAGATACTTTCGACGATGAACTAAGCTTTTTTCAAAATAAAGATAATTCTTTAATTTTTAATAAATTCCCCAATTAAAATTTTTATTGATCCATTATAATAGAACCCTTCCATTCTCTGCGCCACGTGTGTTTAGAACAGCTAAAGCTGTCTTGAGCACGCAGCTCTCTTGTTTATCTGATCAAAATTTTAAAAATCAATTGTTGTTAAAAATAAATAAAAAATTATTACAAAAATATCTTATCTAATATATTATTTTTGTATGATTTTATTTATAAATTATATAAAAAAAAATTATTATAAAAAGATATCTTATTATATATTATATTTTGCATATTTTTATTTATATAATATATATATAAAAAAAATTTTTGTTAATTTTTTAAGTAACGAGTAACCCGTTACGTGCGTTCCTTTTTTCACAAGGTAACGAGTAAAGGTAATGCGTTCCTTTTTTCAGACTTAACAAGTAACGCGTTTCTTTTTTGAAATAACGTTTATAGCATTAATAAAATTTATAAAAATTGGACCAATTTTTTCTAAAGTGATATTATCTACTTTTTATGGCATCTCAGCAGATTTTAATAATACTATTTTTTGTATATTTCCATGTAAAATAATACGAAAATATTAATTTTAAATCAAAATACATATTTGTAGTTCAGATGTCAAAAAAGATTTTTTGATATAAAAATGAAAGCTTTATATAGTTAGAAAAATGAAAAAAAATGTAACAATTTTTTATATAGATATAAAAAAAGATATCATTTTTTTCAGGAAAAGTGAAAAAAAATATATGAGGTTTAGAAAAGTAAAAATACGAAAAATATATCCTTAATTATGAATGGATCAAGCCAAGCATAGTATAATTTTTCCTGATGGGTTAACGCCTACATCCTTCAAAACTTCCTTATTTAGGACAAAATTCATTTTTAGGAATATATTTTAATAATGAGGTTTTGTTATTGAATGTAAAATTCTTATAATTTATAAATTTATTTATAAATAGGATAATAAAAAGCACAGGTTTTATATAATTTGAGCTCTTGAGGATCTGAGAACCAATAATAGCCCTATTTCATTTATTTGGAACAATATTTTTTTTAGTTCTTATATCTCAATATTTTATATTCATTATTTTATATTAATTAATATTAGGATGAGTTCGTTTAATTTAATTCCCAATAATTCTTGAATTAATTCATTATTTGTAATTAAAATAATTTAAAATTTCTATAAAAAAGTCGAGTGTCAAAAGAAATTTTATTTAATATAATCATTAAGTCTTTTAAAATATTATATATTCTCAAATTCATCAAAAAAACTCCTAAAATATATCATTAGTAATGTAATACTAACCATCTTAAGCATTTCCCCTCTCCCATTTCTCTTTATCTTAGCAATTTGCCTTGAGTGTTCTTCTTTGAAATCCTTTATAGTTCTAGCCTTGGCTGAATTCTCATTTTTAACGTCTGATTCTAAGTCTTTTTCCAGTGTATTGGCATCGCGTTTCAAATCGCGATATTTCCTTTGCATCCTGTTCAGCTCTTTCAAATAATCGGATTTTATAGGAGTCGAAACAAGGATGGAGCCATCGCCGTTTAAGGAAGCCATGGAGGACACAGTACTCTTGGACAGAGTTGGGTTACTCCCCGACCATTTACTCAACAAAGAGGTATCATCTTCCGTAAAATCATCAAAATCTCCCAAGTTATTGGCGGAGTGCCACTCCGAATCGGTCTCTATCAGATCTTCGAATGATCTTATTTTAGGTCTTTCTATTTGATCTATCGAATCCAGACTAAGAACTCTGTGGTTAATTAAGGTACTACGACGAGGTATAAGGGAAGTTAGTCTTACGTTATGATCATGGTAATGATGGCGGTCAAGAATTTGAGAGTGATAGTATTTTGAAGATTTAGGGTGAGAGAAATCATGTGTATCCTGTTCTGTTAGCTTTGTCAAAGAATGGCACCGACTGGGATACTTATATTCGCACAATCTAGGCGAATCGAGTTGATTGGGTAGACTTTTTATGATCGTAACACCTTTTTTATTTGAAGATACTTTGATCGTGGGTTTCAATTGTTTAGTCGTTGGGCGGTAGAAATTATTCGCAGCCCTAATCCCGTATTTGATTCCTTGCCGGTAAAGATTGGCGGATAACTCTTTCCTCGCAACTTCCCTCGTCACGAACCTATTCATTTGCCTTTTAAATTTAGGGCATAGATCCGTTTTTTTGGTTTTCGTTTGGACACACTGTTTATCCTTTTTGCTATAACTCGAATCATTGCTACTAGAATGCCATGAATGGGGTAATGTAGGCAAGTCTGGAATAGAAATATCAAAAACTGTGTCCGATTTTATTCGGTTCAATGTGTTTTGAATTTTTTTAATATTGACATCTGCTAATCTCTTTATAACTTTCGCACGGTGGCCGCAGCAATGGCTGGTTTTCATCAATTATTTAATTTTTTTTTTAATTTTTAAGAAATATACAAATTTTATATTGTTATTTCATTATAATTCAATTCGAAAAAAAAGGTAAAAGATTTAAAATTGTAAAATAATTTATTTTATAAAAAATTAATATAATTATATTTTCACCAAACTATTTAAAACATCGTAATTAAATATAAATTTTTCAAGGATAATTTTTGTGTATTACAAATCTTTGGTTTTTTTAGGTATTGTAAATTTTTATTTTTTTTTATTTTTTTTTCTTTACCTTTACAAAATTATTTTTGCTGGGTATAAATTCACATGTATACATAAAAATAACTTGATCATAAAATTAAAATATCCATTATTTTTTAAAAAAAATGATTATTTGTATAATAGTAATAAATTTATATGATAAATCGTTACTAAGCAAAAAAAAATACCTGTCCCTTTTATTATATAACCAAAATAAAATACAATAATTTTGTTATCGGATTTAAGAAAGTAAATATACATTACATCTATAGCACGTCTAAGTGATACGAACTAACAATTTTAAGCTCATAATAATCTCTCTTTTTTTATACAGAGTATATAAAAACAATTTCTAAAAAAATTGCCATATCGGGGGGAAGATTATACTCTTCTAGCCCCCATTATTTTTTGAATTTTTACAGGATATCTTTCAAAGAATAGGATTTTCGAAATAGCATGAGATAAATATTCTAATTTTTTTCCCCTAAATTTTAATGTTAAAATGATAAGTAAGTGAATTGTTTGAGAAAAGTTTCTCTAGATTTGAAGATATAATAATGTTCTAAATTTAAGTTGCTAAATAATGTATGCAACCGACTATATTCTAAAAGCGGAATAAATATTTAATTTCAAATTAAAATATCGTTAAATTTCTATATTTGCATAAAATCAGGAACTAGTGCTACACGCAACCAATTGTTATCTACAAAACAAATTTAAACAACATATTCATATTTTTTAAAAAAAGCTTATACAATGGCGGTAATCATATAATATTTATACATATAAAATATTTTTAGATGGGCAGAAGTAAAGATCTGCATTTCTGTGCTCCAGTACGAGTCCGAGTTTGGAAAATATTTTTAATTTTATATTAGTCACTTAATTACCGGTGATATTACACTAATAACTAAAATTGGTGGAACAACCCAAAGCAGCTATGGGTATCTGTTTGATTCTACCGGGAACTTCATATCTAAAATCAAATTAGTCTCCAATAGAAAGTGTTAAATTACTTTCCATAAAAAATAGAAAGTGATAAATAAAATTTAAAACATTGGTTATTTATTTTTTCCAAGTTATCTATATGTTGTTATTTGTTGGCTCAAATTATTATTTTTTTTTTAAATTGTCCTGAAAAAAAAAATTTTATAACAGTTAAATCTCAAATTTAATAGATCAATTTTAAAATTTGCAAACACAAAAATATGGTAAAAATTATTTATCAATGAATATAGATTTCAACAACACGCTAAAAATTTGTAATATTTATTTTTATTTATTTGGATATAAAACATTATAATCCTAAACATATCAAGTTGAAAATTTGATTTAATGATATAGTTTTATTTTATCCTATTCGTTCTATGGACATGGAATAATATAATCTTATCCCTAATCCTAAAAAAACCCATAGTTCAATTTAAATTCTAGGAATCCCAGGAAATCTAAATCACTCTTTAGCATTTCTTTGTTGAAACCTGACATTTCCATATATTCAAATTTTTCAAAAAGCGATAATAGATCATATTTATAAATTTGGGAAAATGTTTTGATAGAGCACCTAAACGAATATGATACTTAAAGAAGGTTCTGAAAAGCTTTCGGATCAATGAATATTATTATCATCTCTCAATCACTTGGAAAGATTTTCCTTACTAATAACCTTCTATTCTTCTTTTAATCTCCTTTCTCTTCCATCGAGCATTTTTCACGGAAACTCTTTATCATTTAAACGTCCTAAAGACAATCAAAAACCTTTTTTTCCAATAGAAATTGGAAATATAAAAAGTAAAGTAAAGAATAACAATTTTTTAAAATTGGTAAAAAAAAATTTATTCAAAATTTTTAATCGATTCCTCAATAAAAAAAAAGAACATGGATTATAAAAAAATATAATTTAATTTATGTATATAATAATTTTAATTATATTTTAAATCATTTTAGCTATAATATTCTATAATTCAGCAAATAAGTAATTCCTGATTTTCTTTTGCCTTATTTTTTGCAAATAAAATAATATAAATAATGTTTTCCTAATATTATAAAGAAAGACGGGAAAGGGGAATAGGAAAAAAAAAGATAGGGAAAGGAAAACAACTCTACGAGGTTATTATGGCTATATAACTGCTTAAGGCTAATCGCAAAAATCTTGAAACTCTCTGCCAAAACAAATAAATAATTTTTGGGCTTCTACTCATAATTTAAGGCCCCAGAATCTGTAAAAAATCTGGCTTGGGCCTACCAGTGCTTGCAAGTATTTTTGTTATTCTCTGGGTTACAATCGAAATCTAGTGTCATGACAGGTTCTATAAAAATCTATTTGTTATTCTAAAAAATCACTCTAGATCTGCTAAACTCATGAATGTCTATAAATACATCCAAATGTTGTGATTAAAATACAGCAAATTTATTAATATAAAAAGTTAACACATTGGCATTATTCTTAGTGTAATTATTACTAATTTTTTATAAAGTATATTAGCGTATAAAAACCTACCGCTTATATTGGATGGATAATGTATCTCTAAATTTACATTTGTTAGGAACTCTAAGAAGAACAACAAACCATTAGAAAGTTAAATAATCTAAAAATTCAAATTTTAAAGTTAAGAAAAATGTTAGTTATTATGATAGTCATTTGATTGATATGGGGTACATTTTTATTAACACGATAAAAATTCTGAAGAAGATCCAAATATTTTGTTATTTTTTTGTATGTAAAGATTGAGATCCAAAAATGGAACCATATAACTTTAGATAATTAATTCATTCATAAAAAAATGGCTATTATTTTATTTCCCAACCTTGGAATTTAAGGACTTCAGTAAAATTAAAAGGTATTATTTTGGGTATTTTTCAAAATTCCAAAAGAAAATAATTTTTCTAATTATTTTCGAATTTTTGTTTCCTTTTTACCCTCCTTTTCTATTTCTTTATAGTTAATCTATCTAAAAAATTTCTTTACCTTAGAGGGCTTAAAAAAAAATCATGTTTATTAAGTTGACATACAAACTCCTCTAATTTAATACAAGCTCATGTGAATAAGTTTTTTTATAATAACATATAAACAAGAAATAAATTTTAAAATTGTATTTATATCATTTTTTGACAAGTCCAAAAAAATATATTCTTTTTTTTATGATGATAATGATATATTATTTTTATTAAATAAAGAAGAAGAAAAATTTATGTTAATAATAAATTATTTGAAATGCCGGTTAATATTAATATTAAAAGAATTGGCCTAATCTCAGTCGAGTAACCAAGGGAAGGAAAAGGGAAAATCCCCCCATAGCAAATTTGCCTGTTCTCGTAGATATCATTTCAAGATAATAACCCCCCCCCCCACCCAGCATCCCCCAAAAATGTTTATAATATATCACTATAATGAAGAATTTTAAAGAAAGATTAGTGAAAAATATTTTTATAAAAATCCAAAATGACTTAAAGATCTCTAATAAAATTTATTGGGGAACACCCCACCTAATAGCGCCACCACCCCTTAGAAAAATCCTGGATACGCATATACCTATTCTTATTATTTCAATAAAAAAATAAGCTTAACTATACATTAATCTTAGCACTATTTTTTTAAACCCTACCTTTTTAAAACCCCTCAGTTAAAATATTTAATATTTCATTTTGTCACCAATATATAATACTTTATTTATATAAATACAAATCACGTTAATATTTCATGGCGACAATAAAGGTGACAAGAGGAGACATTATATAAATATATAATTTTATGCATAAAAAAATTAATAATATTTATACTTTAATTTGATTTATCTAACTAACATACCTTTTTTTTATATAATATATATTATATAATGTAATATAGTAACTATATAAATTGTTATTTGTATAAAGGGATGTTATTCTTAAAAAAAAAATTTATGTAGACCTAAGAGTTAGTTAAAACTTTTAAAAGCAGGAAAAATTATATAAAACGATAAAAGTTATTGCATATTTGAGATTGAAAACGCTAGATATTGAAAAATATTATAAAATCTTCTGAATTAATTTTAAATTAACAAATCTCTTTAACCTGGATTGAATTTTAGAGTGTTCTAACACTCCGAATATCGTAAAATTTTATCACCATTTAAAGTTTTTTTTATTACTAATAATTAAGATACAATTCTAAAATATTTAGGGCAAATGAGGATCAATCAAAATAATTTAAGTTTTTTATTGCCTATATATTTTATATAAAAAATACTCAAAAATTATGAAAATGTCTTTTAGAGTAGCTTTAAAATTCAACGAAGAGGCGATAATTATATATCTAAAATTTTAATATATATATATAATGGAAAATTGTTTTTTTACAATTTCTTAATTTTAGTCTGTAATCTTATTAACTCACATACAATTGACATTTATGGCAAGTATTTGACAATATTGACTTGAGTAATATATTTTAATTAGTATATAAAGAGGTACATGATCTTTAGCGCCAATCTTTAGCCTTAAGATAACAAAGTCTTCTGTAAAATGTAAAAATTTTTAACAATAAAAAAATTAAAAATGAATCATATAAAATAACTTCCTAAGCTATTTGTTCATTCAAATGAGCTGGAGGTTACGCTATGAATATATATAATTTGGGCTCTAGCAACTAGAGCCCTGCAAATTCAATTTTTTAAGCCCAAGCCTTGTCCCAAATTTTTATTTAATAAAATATAAACTAGGAGAGACTGGGTTAGGTAAACGAGGCTTGATAAACCTCTTAATTTCATTTTTAAATTTAATAG